CCCCAAAACCCCAAAACCCCAAAACCCCGTCATAAGAAATCGTAAACTAAAAATTTAGAAATCAATTTAATCATAAATTTTAATGTCGATTTCATCATTTTCAACCATTCAAATTTGAGATAAATTTTAGAATTGGGAGTCCTTTTTGATAATTATTTTTCACTCTTGGAGAAGCTAGTCCTTTTCCTATTCTTATTTATTAGTACCTGGATGAATTACAGTCACCTTATAGAGTTCAATTAGATCGTTTGTAAATTCATCAACACCTAGGAATTTTACCGTAAATTCATTCTCATCAACATGTACCTATGAAAATCCGTGATAGATATTTTGAGTGTATTTGTATCTACCCATTGAGGGGAGAGCAGGACAAACTAGATATAAATCAAAGCCAGTAGATCCAGTAGTAAACTGATGAAGAGCTTCACCTTGAGTAAATATTTAGTTTCTGTCTTCATCTCCATAAAGCATTTCCTAACCAGCTAAGCATGCATAATCCATAAGTCTACCTTTAGGCGTGTGAAGCTCAGCATTCTGTTTAACAGATGTAACTTAACTATAGGGATAATTTGCATACTCTAATGTATGTTCATGTCCGTTGAAATAGAAATCAAATTTATGGTCTAGCATTAAGGGCATATAATCAGAGACTAGGTGAGCGTAATCTTGATACCATTTTCCAAACAGAGGGTGATGCTGTACTGTTGCTTTCCAAATGATTGATGAATCGTCATCCCATTAATTCATTGTGTCCTTCATCCATTGGAACATCTCTGCACCAAGATCAAGTGTTCTCGGATCATTGCACATACGATCTACAAGCTAGAAATGCTACTCTGAGGCATATTCATTATCGTGAGGAGTTCTAGAAGAGTTGTGGTCATCTGCGAAGGAGTAGTTGGAGCAGAGAGCTAAGCATGAGTCAACAAAGATTATACCTAATTTCTTTCCATTCCCAATATCGAATAGCTTTGAGTAGTATAAATTAGGCATTTGCCAATTCGGATATTTTTTTGTCAAATTAACTTCTATCATATCATCCTCGAAGTAGCACTCGTGATTTCCTCTCACGGCATATATATTCTTATCCTTCAAGTTATCTCTTTTGTAAAATAGGCTCATCATAATGTCGAAATCTTCATCAGAAGGATTAGTGCTATTCATTGAATATAAGTTGTCACCCATTGTTAAGAAAAAGTCTATATCATTTCTTGGATCAGATTTATTTCCTGCAATTTCGTTCATTTTATCGAATGTTAGGTATGCAGGAGTCATATTTCGAACCCAGCCATAATCACCAACCATAAAAAAGTCTAAACCAACCTTTTGCTCTATTAATGGAGTAAGATTCTACGGTTCATGATTTTACTGATGGACTAATGCTCCTTTGATATTATCTAAAAATCCAAGAGAAAATATGGCAATTGAATATAGGATCCCCCAATACATTATAGATTTATTATTATTTGGAATCTCATATTTTAATAGATCCTTATGAAAAAAGGTTATTTGCCCAGAAATTTCTTTCGATCTGGATCAAAGGGGTTTTGGGGTTTTGGGGTTTTGGGG